ATATCGCACCATGTATTAACTCAATATCTTAATATGTATGTAAATAATAGAGGTAACGACTAGGATTATTGGCTAAATTCGGCAATGGTCTTCTACAACACAAGCGTACATGAAGGCACTAAACACACGCTTCACGAACTTGTATTCGGCCGGTTTGCACGTTTACCGACGTCCTCTCTTTCGATAGACGAGGACATTGATCATACATACATACAATATTTAAGCGAACTATATGATACGATAAACAAATTGCAAAATTCAGCGAGGAACATTTAAAACAAGCCAAAATTAGAAGTAGAAATTATAATGATCGAAAGGTAATTGAACAAGAACTCAAAATCGGAGATATCTTCTTATTCGGTGATTGAAGTGAGTAAATTTGGAAACGCTTATAATGGGTCATATAAATTGCTACAATTAACCAATAGTTACAACGCTATAATAGACATGTAATAGACTTACATTGTAGAAGTTAAAAAGGATAGCATTTTTTTCAAGCAGATTGAGAATGCGTTCACAACACGGAGGTTCAATTTTTGTACCTTACTTATCATTTGCATTCTGTTGTTGATCTGTGATATCGATACCAAACAATTGGACCAATACAAAAAGAATCGATATCGCTTTGTAGCCCAGTCAATAAGAGGTGAAGGAAAAATTTTCAGGTAGACCTACTCGACAGTTTGATACAATGGTAATTCGACATCGCTAAATCGAATGGTGCTAATTTTTTTGCAATACAATGTTGCGTTTACGAGAAAAAGGGTAAAAAAGAGTAAAAAATGGCCGTATCTTAGATTCTAGGCATTTAATCGAAAAAAGTTTCAAACAAAAGTTGTAGAGAGTTGAAAAATACATAAAAAATGTTCGAAGGTGTATCTTCGTATTTGCAAAAATAAGCGAGAAAATGAAGGTGAAAGGTAATTGTAAAAGAGGGGGCAATCCACGCCTCTTCGTTGCTCTTTACACGCGAGCTAGTGTGCGTTATCTTGGAGTCTCTCGGTCGTGAATGCGAGTGCGAGTGAGAAAACAAATGGATAAGATTTCTTTAAGCGACAGCGATTCTTTTTGTTTGCGCCATCGATTGTTGAGTGTTTTGTATTATATGGACCGTTTTATTTTGAAAGTGGTGTAAGTCCATTTTTGAGAAAAATGAGCTATCACGTAATTCATGCTTAATTTAATGTAATTTTGCTATATATAACTAGTCCGTGTTTAATTTCGGTAAATGAAATTGCATAATCATCGATTATGAAAGTGGTGTAAGTCCAATTGACAGAGGTAGGTGGCATTGCAGAGTGATGCCGATCAGTGTTTTGTTATTTACGATTACGTGTGATATTACGTGTCAAGAGGTGCTAATTTAGGTTAGTTATTCTATTTTTTTGTTAAAATGGCTAACTTCATATTAACATCAGATAGTGATATAGGTAAGAACAAATGGTAAACCACTATTGTCTTAAAACAACTGCAAATATTTATTTTATTTAATTATAAATAAATTCACACAGACATAAAGCCCATGAATATAAACAGAAGAATAATCTTAGATTCAGAGGATGAAAATAATTCCGCTAGGAACAACAAATTAACGAATCGAACAAAGAGAAGAAGAATTATAGAGGTAGAATTTTCATCAGATGAAGATACTGTTATTGAGAACACGGATTCTGCAGAACAAAATAAAGAAAAATATTTGCAACAAATAAACAAAATTAAGCGAAATAATGAACAAAAGTACTATACAAAAAGAGGAAAATTCATTCCTGCAAAACAATTTGAATCCAAAAATTGTAATTGTTCGAAGAAATGTATAGAACGTATTAATGAAGCACAACGTATGGAAATTTTTGATAAGTTCTGGAATATAGGTGGATTTTAATAAGCAAAATGTATTTTTATATGGTAGCGTTCAACGAAAATCTGTCAATAGAAGACGGCCTAGAAATAATTCGGACACTAAAAGAGTATATGCTTATAAATTTTACCTAGTCACTTCTGGTGGAAATATTTTAGTATGTAAGAAGTTTTTTATTAATACTTTCCAAATATCTACTGGACGAATTGATCGTATCCTAAAATCGCATGAGAACATTCCTAATAACATGCGTGGAAAAATGGATGGCTCTTGCAGAAGAACTAGTGAGCTACTAACGAATACAGTGATAGACCAYATAAAAAGCTTTCTGGCATTTGAAAGTCATTACACACGATCGCAAAATCCAGAACGAATGTTTTTAAATCCGGAATTAAATATARGAAAAATGTATAGTTTATATTTGGAAAAATGCAAGGAAAACAACTTGAGCTMAGTTAATGAATGGATATACAGGAAAATCTTTAAAAGAGATTTTAAGTTACGCTTCCATTTGCCACGTAAAGATACCTGTGCGAAATGCGATATCCTAAACATGAAAATTAAGACTACAACTGATGACGACGAAAAAATGATTCTTGTAGAAAGACATGACGTTCACTTGCAAAATGCTGAATTATCAAGWAAAGCATTACAAGAGGATAAAATTCTAGCATCAGAAAATCCAGATAAATACTTTGCTTTCACTTTTGATTTACAAWAAGCCTTACCATACCCGAAATTGTCTGTCTCAATCGCATGTTACAAACGAAATATATACGTCTTAAACGAGGGTTTTTACAATTTACATAATAATAAAGTTAATATGTACGTGTGGGACGAAACCATTGCTTCTAGGGTATCGCAAGAGGTGGCTTCATGCTGTTTGAAGCACTTAGAAAATGTAACGACCCAAAGCCATGTTATTGTCTACAGTGACATGTGTACTGGGCAAAATCGAAATTTACAAATGGCATTGATGTGGTTGAAGGTTGTCCAGTCGGAAAACAGCATTGAAAGATAATTGACCACAAATTTTTACTCTAGGGGCATTCATACCTTCCGAACAATGCAGATTATGGCATCATAGAAATGGCATTGAGAAAAATGAATTTTGTGTACACACCACAAGATTACTATAATGTAATAGCGCAATGTAGAAAACAGAATAAATTCATTTTATATGAAATGAAACGGGAGAATTTCATATTAACAAAAAATCTCCAAAATGCAATTAAAAAACAGATAAAAAAAAATACTAAAGGGGAACAGGTCAATTGGTTGCAAATATGTTGGTTGAGGTTCCTCAAAATTGCACCATATACCATTTTTTATAAAACAACGATGAAGAACGCAGAATTAAAAATTATCAATTTATTACCTCTACGTCCTGGAAGACCGTTAAAATTTGAAAAAATCGCCCTGGAGCCTTTGTACCAAAATGTCAGACATACGAAAATATGAAGCAGGTACTACCCTATAATACCTCCGGTGTATCATGCATATTTTGAAACACTACCACATGCAGAGAATAAGTTAATTCTTGTAATCAGTATCTTGTAATGACAATGTAATTGCCGTCTAAAATAAAATTTTATGTGTTGTTATGCGTATTTGTAACCAAATTATATTAAAATGAAGTATATTTTAAGCGATATTTGATTTTTCAAAATTGAAATTAAACGATTTTTACAATTGTCTAATTTTGAAAGTGGTGTAAGTCTATTTGCAGCCTATAAATATACATTATTTTAG